CGTCCTGGGAGAGGCTTGGGGACCTGGTGACCAGGGAGAGCCTTGGGAACCTGGTGTCTTGGGAGAGGCTTGGGGACCTGGTGGCCTTGGAGAGGCTTGGAGACCTGGTGATCCGGGAGAGCCTTGGGGACCTGACGTCCTGGGAGAGGCTTGGGGAGCCGGTGGCCTCGGAAAGGCTTGGAGACCTCGTGTCCCGGGAGAGCCTTGGGGACTGGTGGCCTTGGAGAGGCTTGGAGACCTGGTGTCCTGGGAGAAGCTTGGGGACCTGGTGTCCCGGGAGAGCCTTGGGGACCTGGTGTCTTGGGAGAGGCTTGGAGACCTGGTGTCCCGAGAGAGGCTTGGGGACCTGGTGGCCTTGGAGAGGCTTGGGGACCTGGTGTCCCGGGAGAGCCTTGGGGACCTGGTGATGCGGCAGAGCCTTGGGCCAGGGGGAAGGAGCACAGTCGGGTGTGGGATGGTTTCCAGGGCTGGAGAAGGGGCGACGCTCCCTAGGGGAGAAGAAGCACGTTGGGGGTTTCGGGGGGGCGTGGTTGGGACGGGGGAGGCCCCCCAGACCCCAGCCTGAGCGCTCACGCCACCGGGTCCGCTCCTGCAGGTCCAGGCTCAGCTGCAGCTGGAAGGCGTGGCCCACGCGCACCCGCACCTGCACCCGCACCTGGCGGCGCACGCGCCCTACCTGATGTTCCCCCCGCCGCCCTTCGGGCTGCCCATCGCGTCGCTGGCCGAGTCCGCCTCGGCCGCCGCCGTGGTCGCCGCCGCCGCCAAGAGCAACAGCAAAAACTCCAGCATCGCCGACCTGCGGCTCAAGGCGCGGAAGCACGCGGAGGCCTTGGGGCTCTGACCCCGCCGCGCAGCCCCCCAGCGCACCCGGACTCCCGGGCTCCGCGCGCCCCGCCTGCACCGCGCGTCCTGCACTCAACTCCGGAGACGGTGCAGAAGGCGGAGCGCGTGAGCGGCCGTGCGCCCTGCTCGGACCTCTCCAAGGCTGCCCGTGCGTCCTGGGAGACCCTGGAGAAGGGTCCACCCTGCCTGGCTGCGTCTTCCTCTGCTCTACCCTATGCATGCGGTGAACGACCCAAAACGTGTGGAAGATCCTAGAGTCTGTGAACCTGCAAAGATCCCGGGGCTGGTCTCCGATGAAAAGGCCGTGTCTTCGTTGCCAACGGTTTTCTTTACCTCCATATACTCCTTCCTTCGTCCCAAGAGCTGTGTGTGGATTTGAATGTGGACTTTGGAATCCCAGGAGGCAGAGGGGGTCGGGCTGTCCTCCCACGGCTCCCCCCCACCCCCAGCATCCCAGAGGCAGCAATAAGGGAACAGTTTTGTGGCTGTTGTGGCTGAGGACGTGAACCGGGGGGGTGGGACTTGGAAGGGGAGGGGAGGGAGATTCGAACCTCCCACGTTGTGACTCCCACGTTCCGAGGACCACGATGCTGATGCTGGTGACCACGTCTGGGCTCACCTCACTGGAAAGAGTGGGGAGGCCTCTGGTGCCCTCGAACAGGCCACTTGACACCTTTTTCCAGTATTTGCTTCCCTCACTTGACTGCGTTTTGTTTTTTGTTTGTTTGTTTGTTTTTGTTTTGGGATTTGGTTTTCTGCTGTTTTACAGAATTCAGACGCGTCATGACTCGCCCGAGAGACGGACGCGCGGTTGGAATCCTAAAGCAGCATTAACTTTAATAACATGGAATGACGTGCAATACTATATAAAGAGAATAGATTAAAAAATAATAATAATAATAAGAACCGTAAGGCGTTGCGTCTTCTCGCAGCGCTGGCCGCCCTGGCCACCGAGGGGTCCCATTGCACAAATCATGAGTGTGGACATCGCCCTGGGCCCGGTGCAAGTGTGGGTTTGTGTGTCTAAAGGGGATGAAAGGGAGCAGAGGATATAGTGCCTGAGTATCAGTTTGGTACCTGAGCTGTTGTGTCTGGTTGGGAAGCGTCAAAGTTAGGGAGAGAGATCCACAGACTTTCAAGGATTTTGCAGACGTAGGCGGTTCCAGGTTTGCCTTTCGCCTCTACTCCATCTTCTGCATTTGGCCAGTTTCTTCTTTTGTTTCTTCTGTTTTCTTTTTGTTTGTTTGTTTGGTTTTTTTGTTTGTTTGTTTGTTTTTGAGACAGAGATTTGCTTCGTAGCCCAGGCTGGAGTGCACTGGCTCCATCTCAGCTCACTGCAACCTCCGCCTCCAGGGTTCAGGCGAATCTCCTGCCTCAGTCTCCCGAACGGTAGCCGGGACTACGGCCATAGGCCACCCACGCCCGGCTGATTATTTTGTGTTTTTAGCAGAGACGGGCTTCCACCGTGTTGGCCAGGCCGGTCTCGAACTCCTGACCTCAGGCTATTCTCCTGCCTCAGCCCCCCCAAGTAGTTGGGATGACAGGTGCACCCGCCACCCACACCCGGCTAATTTTTTGTATTTTTAGTAGAGACAGGGTTTCACCGTGTTGGCCAGGACGGTCTCGAACTCCTGACCTCAGGGGATCTGCCCGCCTGGGCCCTCCAAGTAGTTGAGATGACAGGTGCACACCACCAACGCCCAGCTAATTTTTTGTATTTTTAGTAGAGACGGGGTTTCACCGTGTTGGCCAGGCCGGTCTCGAACTCCTGACCTCAGGCTATTCTCCTGCCTCAGCCCCCCTAAGTAGTTGGGATTACAGGTGCACCCGCCACCTACACCCGACTAATTTTTTGTATTTTTAGCAGAGACAGAGTTTCACCGTGTTGGCCAGGCTGGTCTCGAACTCCTGACCTCAGGGGATCCACCTGCCTCGACCTCCCACCGTGCCCCCTATAGTTTTATAAACAGCAGATAGCAACTTGTCCTCACCGCCGGCATGGACTGGACCGTTGCTTGAAATGACTCCATCCGTCACCCGGGCCTGCCCAGAGAGAAACGATATCTTCTCTCGACCTTTACTAACGTTCGGTGGCCACAAGTCTCTTATTTCCAAACCACCTTTTGCCTCTTTCCGGATTCGACCTTGGCCGTTTTTTCTTTCCTAACGTCTGATTGAGATACTTCTCCCTGAGGTGGGGCTAAAAAAAAAAACTAAAAACCAAAAACAAAACTTCTTATTTTTTGTTTTTTTTCTTCCACATAACACTTTCTATCTCGTCACGAAATGTAGACACGTTTGGATCCATTTCATTTCTATCTTCGGATACTCCTTACACACAAACCAAAAGGCCCCTTCAACGTTTTTTATTTCAAAATGTTAGAACTGCTGTAAAATGAGAGAGAGAGAGAGAGAGAGAGGGAGAAAAAAGAATGCAAATTAAATATTTTTCAATCAGTTGCAACTTCTTTTTTTCCCAGACGTTAATGGCATTAGAAAGTTTGTCTCCTTCACGCATTTTTTTTTTTTTTTAAAGCTGGAAATTTAAAAGAAAACGAGAGAGAGGATTTTATCGTTCAGATGAAATTTGTATCTAAAAGAGGAATTGCATTTTGAATATTTGGGAGGCAGATTTTCGTTCATCAGAGTGTGTAACCCTTGGGAAAAGGGGTTGGGAAGAGGTGTACGGCCCTAGATATTTTTTTGGTTTTTTTTTTTCCCCCCGAAAAAGGCTGAGTAATTTTGAAAAATCGAAACATAACCATCTGTCATCATTTCCTCCGGACAAAAACTCACGCCCCGTGAGGATGAAGACACACGTCTGGTCCCTGTAAAATCTGAACTTTTCTTTTTAAGAGACGGAGTCTCACTCTGTCGCCCAGGCTGGAGAGCAGTGGTGTGATCTCGGCTCAGCACAACCTCCGCCTCCCGGGTTCAAACGAGATTCTCCTGCCTCAGCCTCGCTGGGATTACAGGCACCTGCCACCAGGCCCAGCTAATTTTTTTTTGTATTTTTTGTAGGGTTTCGCCGTGTGGGCCAGGCTGGTCTCAAACTCTTGACCTCAGGGGATGCACCTGCCTCGGCCTCCCACAGTGCTGGGATGACAGGCGGGAGCCACCGCACCTGGCCTGTATCTGAACTTTTAAAAGGCACCGTCCACCCTGCTGGGACGCTTGGGCCTCCGGGCCTGCCAGGAGGAGGCCTCCGTGTTTTGGTTTGATTTAATACGGAAGGAGAGCCGAGCTTCCCCCTCACGAATGGGCCCCCAAAGCACAGCAAACCCACAGAACTGTGCGGGGAGGACACTAATGTATGTCAAGACCGGCTGTGTTTGGCTTGTCTCCTGCGAGAGAAGCTGGGTGACTTTCTGTGGGCTGGATCAGTGGCTCCTGGGTAAGGGGTACGTGTGTGCTGGTTTCTTCTTTCTCCCTGAAACTCCAGGATGGAAGGAAATCAGAAATTCAGCTTGGACTGTGACCAGTCCTCACCACTGACGCCCTCTCCTCTCCCTCCCTCCCTCCCTTCCTTCCTTCCTTCCTTTCTTCTCTTTCTTTCTCTTCCTTTCTTTCTTTTTCTTCTTTCCTTCCTTCCTTCCCCTCTTTTTCTTTCTTTCTTTCTCTCTTTCTTTCTTTCGTTCTTTCTTTCTTTCCTTCCTTCCTTTCTCTCTCTTTCTTCTTTCTTTCCTTCCTTTCTCTTTCTTTCTTTCGTTCTTTCTTTCTTTCCTTCCTTCCTTCCTTTCTCTTTTTCTTTCTTCTTTCTTTCCTTCCTTCCTTCCTTTCTCTCTCTTTCTTCTTTCTTTCCTTCCTTTCTCTTTCTTTCTTTCGTTCTTTCTTTCTTTCCTTCCTTTCTCTTTCATTTCTTTCTTTTTCTTCTTTCTTTCCTTCTTTCCTTTCTTCCTTCCTCCCTCCCTTTCTTTCTTTTTTCTTTCTTCTTCTTTCTTTCCCTTCCTTCCTTCCTTCCTTTCTTTCTTTCTTTCTTTCTTTCTTTCTTTCTTTCTTTCTTTCTTTCTTTCTTTCCTTCCTTCCTTCCTTCCTTTCTTTTTCTTTCTTTCTTTCTTTCTGTCTCTCTCTCCCCTTTTTTCCTTCCTTCCTTTCTTCCTTCCCTCCTTCTTTCCTTCCTTCCTTCCTTCCTTCCTTCCTTCCTTCCTTCCTTCCTTCTTTCTTTCTTTCTTTCTTTCTTTCTTTCTTTCTTTCTTTCT